AATTGTGGATTCCAACTTCAAAACTTTTAGATAAAAGATTTCTCGGATTTTTTTATGAAATATTAAAATTTTTAAGATTTAGAACTAAAAAGCCACTTTAATATTTTTGGAATTCAAACAGACAAAATTTAAACGAACAAAAAACAATGTTTAATTTTCAATTCAAAAATTTTATGAAAACATAACTTTTTTTATTTAATTTAGGATTTTCAAGTAAAAATATTTTATTATATTGATCGCTTACTTTGAAATGCTTATACAAAATTTGTGAAAAAAAATGTATATTTCATGCTCAATAGTGAGACATTTGAAATATGTATGTACATATGTATAATAGAAAAAAATTTGCTTTACCACGTTTCCATTAAAAAATTTTTAATTAAAAAAATTTAATTTGTTTGGTCTTAAACGTTATTTTACTATTCCAAAAATCGCATTACTTTTCAGTTAGAATATTTTATTGAAATTTTTTTAACATAATTTTTTTGTTTTCATTAAAATAACTTACATTTCATATGTACTTTAAACACAATTTTCTTGTCACATATTTTTATGCAGTTTAAAAATTTTTTATTATTCGAAATCAAACACTAAATTATTCCTTCACAAATTATGTGTGCAAATATGTATATCAATACATACAACTAAAAACTTAAATACAAAAATTTTACATAAAATATGAATTTACTGCATTACTTACAAATTCTTAAGTTTTTTCCTACTCCACCTTTTTATTCTTCTTTGTACCTTGCTATAAAAATCAATGTTAAACTTTTAGTTACCAATCAGTACAATTTGTATGTAGTAATTAAAATTAAACTCATCATTCATATGCCTACATACTAAATAGTACGAGGGCACTTTAATAAGTCAGTGACTTTTTGATTTTTTTTTCGCGTAGTAAATAACATTAAATGCAACGCTGCTCCTTAATAAAATCTAAAATTTTAAGGAAATTTAAATCAAAAAAGAAAAATAAAAAAATTAAATTTCTAAAAATTATATAGAATTATATATATTTATCTTTTTAAAACAATAAAATCCAAAAATTTAAAGAAAATTAGATTGAAAAAAATAAATCTAATTTAAAGAAAAAAAAATCTAAAAAAAATCTACGCCAATTCGGCATACCGAGAATATCTGTCAAACTACCCTCGTATTTGTAAATTTTTTCATTGCGCTGACTATATAAAATACAAATTTCATATTTGCGAAAGTTGCAAGCTAGCAATAAACCCTACAAGCATACTAAATAAAAACTTTTTAAATCGTAGCTAAGCGAACTTTAATTCAAAGCTAAGCAATTCAATCTACAAAAATTTGGCATTTATTTTTGGGTGCAGCAGTAAAAAGGTGAAATGCATTTATTTAGTGGAAAAGTGTGTGCAAAGCAAAAATGCAAGCAAATCCAAATTTCGTTAAAGCCGAAGTTTCACTAGCATTTTTGTTAGAAAATTGTGATTTTTTTTTTCTATTTTTGAAAAGCTTACCAAGCATTTTCGACTTCACATAGCAGTTTTTTTTTTGGCTTAGCGTTGCAAAGCTTCGTAAAATTATCTATTTATATATTTGATGAGTTGGCTTGATCTACAAAAGCATTTTATTCTTCCTACAGAGAATAGCGCAAGTGCTATAACTATTTTCATTAAATTCAGTACTTTCAGATAATTTCTTGAGATCACTACAATGCCTAAAATTTTGCTATATAGAAAGTGTTTTGTAGCGCCCACGCTCTCACTTTTCCGCCTCTCCCAGCCCGCTTTAAAGCTCAGTTAGCCTAGACTTAATTTACTTAACTTTACTTTACGTAACTTAGAATTTAGAAAATCGAAATGAAACAGACTTTGGTGTTGCATTAAGTTACGTTAAGTTTCGCCTGTCCAAATATAAGCAGCATCCATTTAGGATAATTTTTAAGTGTAGCTTACGTTAAGTTGCCATTATCAGACCTTAAGAACCTGCAAATTTTAGGTTCTTAAGTTACTGCATTACGGAACTTGAACGTGGTGAGCTGTCAAACAGCTGAAAAAGAAATTACGAACACAAAATATTCTCGCATCTGACTTTAGTTGGCGTGCTGAGAAATTATTGACAATTTCTTACGTTAAGTTAAGTCAAATTAGGTTAAGTTAAGTTAAGTTAGGTTGCGTTAAGTTAAGTTAAGCTTTATTTTTTACAGACGTTGCAGAAGCGCACTACTCATCAAGTTGACCGTATGAACCCTCCGTATATGTTAAGCTAAGTTAAGTTAACTTATATTAAGTCTAGACTAACCGTGCTTTCAAGCTAACACACATTCGCTTAAACATCATTTGTGAGAGAATACCAGTTGTGACTAGATATTTTGGTGTTTGAATAGTATTTTTAGCTGTATTTTGTATGTTTTCTAACATTATGAACGTACATAATTGAATAAATATCTATACATAGTTAATTCTTAGTAGTAGAGGGTAGACATATGTATGTATGTATGTATGTATGAAGTTTGTAGATAAGTGGAGTTGATTACTAGCAGCTAAGTATTTTAGTAAAGCGGCAACGCTGTGTTATGCTTCGATTTATTTATTTATTTTTTTTTTTTGTTTATCACAATTTGAGGTGAAATCGCGATGCGCCTACAAGTATGCAACAAAACAACCGGCAACTGCTGGCTTAACAAAAGCTACGCAGAAAGCACATCGGTGAGACAGGCGCGCGTGCGCGTGCTTGTGTGTACTATAAGCGCTTGTATATATGTATTTAATAGCTGATTTGTGCATCGCAACATTATTATTAGTGAGCAACATGTTGCTAAAAAGCGCTTTGAAGCACGCCAACAGCAACATATCGCCGGAACCATGCAAATGCATAGCTGGATGTATGTATGTATGTATCTATGAGAAATCTACTACGCTCAATTGTCAGCCGCCGTCGCTGTTGGTGATTGCAACGCCTGCAAAGGCGTTACACTGGGCGATGTGGCAGACGTGACCGCCGATGGCGATGAAGGCTTTTGCATTTTGTTGCGAAAGTGACGATTCTCTGGATTTGCCAACACTGATTGTATGAATTCGGAAGTTTCCAGCTGCAGCTGCGCCAAACGGCGTTGCAACATTTGATTACGTTTCACCAGTTTGATGGTTTTTAATGCGATTGCCAATAAGCCTTCGGTATTTTTAATCTCACATATGCTTGAATATGTATCGGAATCATGTTCGTCGTCATCACTAGCGGCGTAATATTGCTGCTGGTAATGTTTCGGGCTATGCTGATTGTTCGCAGAGGTCGTTGTTGTTGTTGTTGTTGCTATTTTGGGTGGCAGTGATTGTTTGTCATGCAGCGTGGGTGCTGTGAATACTGTTTTAATGTTGTGGCTGCTGGTGTTGTTGTTGTTGTTGTGTCTATTGTAGCATTGCGCCCCTCTTGTTATGGAATGTACTTCGCAGTCTTCTTCGTCGGTGATGTCATCGTCGAGATCCATTTGTTCGGCTGTGATGGCGCGCATCAATTTCAATCCTGTTGTGGTCGATGAGGAGACAACATTGTCGGATATTTGTTGATCACGCTCCAGCAGCTGCAGTCTATTTATGCGCAACGGCTCGAGGAAGGATTTTTCAGCCGCACCAGTATTGAGCCTACCGCGTACGCGCAGTGTTGTTGAGTTACGTGCGCTGCCCGCTGAAAGTAGAAGAAGAAAAGAGTTGTTGATTAGTTTGTAAATTTTCAGATACATACACATATATAAAAAATCGTAACTCCACATTTTTATGTGTGTATACAAATCTGAACGGTCAATCATATGTATATCTCGAGAAGAGTCACAAGTGTCAATTATTGCATAATTTTAGGCGCTATCTAAATAAGAAATTCGAAAACAATTTCTAGCAGCCCTAGTCTCTAAAAAAAATTGCTGCTGGGCCTAAAAGTATACCACACAGTTATCTCATACTGTCAGTATTAACAGGGTAATTCTTGCAACTGTATTTAAACTCAGTACAGTCTTTCGAAAGTGAAAATTGTTTCGTAATGCAATTCGTGGCCTTAATAAAATAATGTCGTAAGCGCCTTTTTGTTGACTTTTAGTTATATTTGGAGTCACATATATTAAAATATGATCTCTCGATTGGTGTTATCAATTTTTGGATATCTCTTATAGTTTCCGAGATATTGAGTAAAAAGTATCCTTACTTCAGTACAAATTGGTATCACATTTTGTCGTATTTTGGCTGACAAATTGTTGGCATATGTATGTCGCTTACAACAAAATTGTTTTAAAGAAAATCCTTCATGAACTCAAAGCTTATTAACAATGAACAACTAAAATTAAATAATTTAAGAATTTTGTGAAGTAGTTGATAATATTCTCCGAGACTTTTGAGAAAATCTATCTTCGCGTTATTGAGAAATTGCATTCCAAACTTTAATCGCGATTTTCCAGAACCTGCCAAAAGTAACATACGACAACCTATTAACCAGGCGACGAATTGTCAATTGTGGCAACCATCTTGAAAGCTCTTTACTGTCTTTCGAAAGACAATTGAGGAAGTCTTAGCGTTATGCATTTTTTTTATTTCATAAATCCAAATAAAAAAATACTTGTTTTTATTTTTTCAAGCAATAAAAACTAATAAATAAAATGAAAATAAAGCAAAAATTAGTAAAAATATTTTGGAAAATAAAGTGATATCAAAAAAATATATATATATTTTTTTTTTCCTTTCTAAAAATTTAAAGAAAAAAAATTAATAAAATAAGATCTTTAAATTATAATTAAATTAAAAATATGTATATATTTTTCTTTTTAAAATAATAAAATATAAAACCAATTATAAAATTTAATTGGAAAAATATTTAATCAGAAATAGCAGCAAGTAATTTTTTAATAAAAAACAAAACCGCCTTGAAATCTCATATAAAAATTTAAGATTATCGCTAATTTCTTCATGTGAGGTAACAACTTTCCTTTATACATTTTGTGCAGTCGGTTAAAAAATAATATGTATACGTTTGTAAAAATTTTAAGAAATAGAATAAAAATATTTTGCTTTTTAAAACAATAAACAAAACAATAGAACCGGTTTCTAAAAATTAAATGAAAGTTAAAAAATGTGTATTTTTTTGAGAGAATGACGAAATATCCGCGACCTTTCGCTATAAAAAAAACATATGTTTACTCACTAGGTATCTATATACATATATATATCATCACCATTTTAATTTGCCTGTTTCTGTTTGCAAAGGCGAGATACCGACTTTGTCTTGGAAATCATCAGGCCTCGGTGCGTGTGGTAAGTTTTTTTTACCACTGTCAATCCACTTAGAATTAGGAAGTCGTTTACCGAGGAAGGCTTTAAGGGTTGGGAATTCATCAGCGGGATACACAAGATATTTTAAATAGCAGTGTCCATAGTTCTGCCAAACTCGTATCCTTTTAAGCACTCTGACAACTTTTTTAGTTAGTTTATTTTTAATAGCATGTCTATAATCAAAAAAAAACCGCACAATGCAAGCGCATGACCAATGCAATAAAATGTACAAGATTTCCATGCGCAAAAAAGAAAGTAGTAAAACATTTGCCTACTCAATGCTTTACATAAGCTTCGCTCACTCACGTTTTGTGGCCAACCGCCCAGCGCAAAATCATCACCCAGTTATTGAATTGCCCGCGGCACGAGTGCAACAACGCGGAATATGGGTCACACAGCGCTAAATCTGTCAATTACGTGCGCCACGGCAGCGTTGCATTTAATTAGCAATATCACGGCAGATAATCACAAAAAAAAAGACGCGCTAACCGTCGTTTGCCACCAGCACTTAGCGCATGCATACTTAACCCACAGTAATAATGAACTCGCTTAACAGCTCATGATGCTCAAGTCCATGCATTGACAATAATGTGTAAATTGTATACTTATTTGTACTACGTTTATATACATATGTACATATATGTATGTATGTATATGCACATCTACTTATAAGTATGTGAGTATGCAAAATGTGTCCGCCGCATGTGTTTTCCGACGGCCGGACAGAAAATGTGCGCGTCAAAAACGTGACCACACCAGAAACCACGGCGACATAGCTGGCTTGCTGGTTGGCTGGTTGGCTGGTCTGCTCGTTGGTGGGTCAGTTAAATCCGCACAGAACCTGTGAGCAAACAAAGGCCATGACCATGGACAGCCAACGGTAACTAGCTAGTTGGTTGTGGGTCAAGCAAGTGAATACGGCCATGTTTGTATGTATGCGCATGTATGTACATACATACATATGTAAATAAATACAGCAAGTGGAGTACATACCTACATACATATGTATCTTTGTACGGGTTATATGTAGATTTATCACCTGTCAAGCTTTTCAGAACTCACGGCAGAGCCCCCGGTTTAATGGCGGTCAGGTGAGGTCACTACCACTTTTCTGATGGAGTAGAGAAAGTTTTCTAAAAATTAAATAACATAAAATATATAAAACTATAAAAGCTAGAATTAACTCTAAATTGTATTACTTTAAACGATAAATTCTTATAAAAAAATACATATATATGTATATAGGGTCCCCGGAAACGGTTCTAACGATTTCTATGAAATTTTGCATACGGTTAATCTTTTGCATTTTAAGATTATCTAAATAGGTATTATATCCGAGAAGACTCGTATAAGGTTGCCACCTGTTCGAAATTAGTTACGGTAGGTATTTTAAAAACCCCCAATCAAAAAATATTTCTAATAGGGTTGCCACCTATTCTGAATGGCATATTTGTTTATTTTTTTTTGTTTAGAAAATAAAGGTACAATATTACTATTCACGGCTACCACGAGACGTTTCTTAAACAATGATTTCCCTATATACTAAGTGTTGCCACTTATTTTGAATTCTACAAAATTTATCTAAAACATCGCTATATGGATATCAAATTAAAGGTATTGGTGAGAACTTTGGTCTGAAAATATTTTTGAGCAGGGTTGCCACGCTTTTGTGTAATACAAATTTTTATTATTATTATTTTTTTTTTTTATTTAATCAGCATTTTTTTGTATGTGTACACAGTACACATACGCTCAAGATATGTACTATTCATTGCAGTGTATTTCTAAATACGGTTGCCACCTAAATTTTAAAGTAAACAATTTATTTACTTTATAGATTTCAAAACCCTTTTTTTAATTTATTTCCGCAATATTTATTCTAAACCTATCCAAATTACCAGTATTTAATACCCAAACCTTGAAGACTTTAAAAAGTTTTTGCACTCCGAGCAAAGCTCGGTCAGCCTGGACTTTAATTTAAAAAAAGTAAAAATAAAATAAACGAGATTAGATGAGAAAAAATGAATACTTTTGTTTTTAAAACACTAAAATCTAAAAATTAAAAGAAAACTATATTAAAAAAGAAAAAAACTTAAACAATAAAATATAAATAATAAATAATTAATGAAACAAAAAGTCAAGATTTCTCTTTTTAAAACAATACAAAGTAAAACTTAAAAGAAAACTACTACTACTGATTAAGAAAACTAGATAGTAAATAAAATAAGTTCCTAAACATTAATTGAAATTTAAAAGAAAGATATCTTTTTAGAACAACAACATCTAAAAAATAAAAGTAAACTTAATTAATTAGACGATTTTAAATACAGTCTACAAATTAAAATAAGGCTAAATTTAATAAAAAATTTATAAAATAAATAAAAAATAAAGGAAGTTTCTATAATTGAATGAATAAAAAATTTGATTTAAAAAAAATAAAATCTAAACCGTAAAGGAAAACAAATTAAATTAACTAAACAAAAAAAAATAACTTAAATAATTTTATAAAAACTAAGTCAAATCAAAATCTAAAAATTTAGTAAAAAAGGAAGAACATTCAATTGAAAAATAATAAAAATTAAATATTTTGCTAAAAATCAAATAAAATAAAATTTTTGTTAACAATAAAATTTAAAAATAAAGAAAAATTATATTAAAAAGAAAAAACTTTATTGAAAACATAAAACTTCAATATGCTTTAAAAAAATATGTTTGATTTTATAACAATAAAAATTAAGAGAAAACTAAACTAAAATAAGTTTCTTAATATTTAATAAAACTAAAAATATTTGTTTTTTATAACAATAAAATCCAAAAATTTAGGGAAAACAAATTAACAAAATAAATAAAAAATTAAATAAGTTTCTAAAAATTAAATTAAATAAAAAAAAATAAAAAAATTAAATTAGAAAGAAATATGTACATACAATAAGTTTCTAAAAATCAAATTAATTTAAAAATATACATTTTTTGCGCTTTAAAACAATAAAGTCTGAAAATTAAATAAGAAATTAAAAAAGAAAATAAACGCTTAATTAACAGAAGGAAAAACGATAAATGAAAAAATTATAAAAAAAAAAACATTCCGCTGAAGGGTGCGGTGTAATAATGTCAATTGACATAAATTCACTTTTGTAAGGGAATTAATGTCAATGACATTAGCGCAGAAACCAAAAGTGAGTTACTCCGCGCGAACGGGTGTTGTTAATATTTTTCTTTTTAAGAGTAATAACGCCAATGGGTTTTTACTTCGCTTTCGAAAAGGTAAAAAGGTTTTATTTATAAAATAAAATTTGCGGGGTTATTGAATTACCACTGAGGATGCATAAAAATCCCACTCACATGTTTTTTTTTATTTTTTTTTGTGAAGGTTCCGTCGTTCCACTGTTTTATTTATTACCTCTAAGTACTTTTCACATGACTCTGT